GGGGGGCTCAGCCTGGAGAAAAGGAGGCTCAGGGGGGACCTTCTGGCTCTGCAATCCCTGACAGGAGGGGGGAGCCGGGGGGGGTCGGGCTCTGCTCCCAGGGAACAGGGACAGGAGGAGAGGGAACGGCCTCCAGCTGTGCCAGGGGAGGGGCAGGTTGGACATCAGCAGGAATTTCTTGCTGGAAAGCATGGTCAGACCTTGGCAGGGGCTGCCCAGGGAGGTTTGGAGTCCCCACCCCTGGAGGTGTCCAAGGAATGACTGGACGTGGCACTCTGGGCTGGGGGACAAGTGAGGGATTGGGCACAGGTTGGACTTGATGATCTTGGAGGTTTTTTCCAAACCAAATGATTCTGGGATTCCCTGTTTTCTTCTACATCACAATGCATATTCCCATTTCTTTTTCTTTGGTTGTTTGTATATTTAGCTGGAGGATAACATTGCCCTCTCTGTGGTGAATAACAGATGTGACAGTGAGAGGAAAATGTCCAATTGCAGTTGGTTTGTAGACCTTCTACTCAAAAGAGTTCTTCATGTGCTCCTGATGAATTAATTTGTCCTTTTAATGATAAGTCTTTTCAGTTTCCCATCCCTGAGTGGCCCGAGGTCACGGAGGGTCAACAGTGGCAACAGCACCCTTGACATGGCCATGAATTGATAGCTTTTCCATTAAATCTCAGAGGCTCTGAAAACAGGCTCTAACATTTGGGATCAAACTCCAAAAAGGAGTTCCCTGTGGTGTTACTTCCCTGGTGAGAATGAAAGAGAGAGAATGGAGACTGAGGCTGGTCCGTGCTGGACAGAGCAGGGGGCTGTACTTATGTGTCACTCAATCCAAGGTGCAGATCATTCCCTATTTCCAGTTTGCCTTTCCATGCAGATGCAAAGGGTGATGACAGTGAGGAAATCCGTTGCATCAGAAAAGCTGCCCCTTGTCAGTCACCACGAAAATGGGGACAAAGTTCAGCTCTTATTTCCTCTAATTTTGATCTTCAGAGATGTTCATTGCCCAGGGTCTTGAGGTGACCCCTCCTGGGCCTGGTTTCAATCCTGCCTGGGCTCAGTTTTTCCTCTGTTCCTGTGGAAGAGCTCCAGACCCTTGGACATGGGCTGAGCCTTGCCTGCTGCCCATGGGATGTGCTGGAGCTAGTTTCTGGCTCAGGGAATGTCCCATCTGTGTCCCAAACTCAACCTGCCCTGGGGTTTGTTCCCTTCCCACCTGCTCCAGCTCTGGCCTCTTCAGGTGGGTGAGTGGGTGGGGAGATCTGCACCCAACTCCTGTAGGCAAGTTGAAAACCACCCAGGAGAAATCCCAGGAAAACGTGGAGGTCCTTCAGGAGGCACCAGATCCACAAACCCTTCCTGGGTCCCACTCCCCAGAGTGTAACAGGAACATCCTGAGGCCCATGGAACCCACAGCTCTGACAGTAACAGACTGCAGAGACAGGTCCAAGAACTGCTCCAAGCAGGATGATCTGCTCCCTCTGTCCCTGTATCCATGTGACTGGTACAAATGTCTGAACCTGACAGCAGGTTTTGGCCTTCCATGAGCTGCCAGGAGAACTTCCCTCATCATCAACTCCTATCACAGAAGGAGGAACCTACAGTCAGTCCAAAGACAGTTCTGCCAGCAGGCAAAGGGTCTGTGCCCCTGGCTCTGGGCAAGCCTGGTTGGGAAGGTGCCCTGGATGTCCCCTCTGATGGAGGGAGGCTGCGATGTCACCCCATCACAGCTCCCTGTCACAGCCTGGGGTCACCTGCCCTGCAAGGTGTCCCTCTGCTGACTCCATCAAACCTGGCCTGTGCCCAATCCACGCCCTGGCCTTGGCCCAGCACAGTCAGCAGCTCCAGGATGATCCAAAGCAGGGTCAGGTCCCAGGTGTCCCAAACTGCTGAGTTTGGCTGCACTGTCTCAGAACAGGGAATGCTAATCCAAATTTCAGAGCTTCACCTAGACCTGCCTTTAATACCAGACATGCTTAAGGGTGAAAACAAGTTTATTCTGGCAAAGCAGGAGTTTAAATTCCTAATTGTGAGCACTGAAAGAAGATTACAAAAGAGAAAATAGAACGGGGTTGTGGA